GGAATTCCACCCATTATCCTCAAAAAATGTGCACCAGAATTAACGCCGATTCTCTGCAAGTTGTTCACCATCTCGTACAGGTCGGGTATTTTTCCATCATGCTGGAAGACAGCTAGAGTCCAACCAATCCCCAAAAAAGGGAACAAGAACCTGCCCAACAACTACAGGCCCATTGCCCTGTTATCAGTAATCTCCAAAGTGATGGAGAAAGCCATCAATATTGAGCTTATCAAATATCTGGAGAGCTCAGGAATCATCAATGATAGACAATACGGCTTTCGCCACCGAAGATCTACTGGAGATCTACTTGCCTACGTCACCCATTTATGGCAATCTTCAATAGAAAAACACGGGGAATCTCTAGCTGTCGCGTTGGACATTTCGAAAGCATTCGACCGTGTTTGGCACGAAGGACTCCTCCACAAACTACCATCATACGGCTTACCACCTCAGCTATGCCATCTCTTATCGAGTTTTCTTTCAGGCAGATCGCTTCACGTGGTGGTGGACGGTGTATCGTCTGATACCTTTGGCATCAATTCCGGCGTTCCACAAGGATCAATTTTGGCACCAACATTATTCCTGCTTCATATCAATGATCTGTTGGGAGTAACAACTTGCCCCATCCACAGCTTTGCAGATGATAGTACCCTCCATACTGCGTTCTCTTCTAGAATTCCCATTTCTTCCCAGGAAACTAAGAACTCACGGCGCAGGCAGGTCAATGCTGTCAATGAAGATCTTGCTAAAATCACAGCCTGGGGAACAAACAACCTAGTTGAATTCAACGCCACCAAAACTCAAGCCTGCATTTTCTCTAGAAAGGCGGAACTCAGTATGCCCGATATTGTAATGTCTGGCTCCACCATCCCCACCAAGCCCACCATATCTATGCTCGGTATTTCCATCAGCAACACTCTTTCATGGGATAATCATGTCAGATCCATCGCAAAAGCTGCTTCACAAAAACTCGGATTCTTGTTCCGTGCGAAAAGCTACTTTACACCTCAACAGCTTCTCATGATCTACAAAGCGCAAATACGGCCTGTTCTAGAATACTGTTCCCACATATGGGGTTCAGCACCAAAACATACACTGATGCTCTTAGATTCCATCCAGAGAAGAGCCATTCGCCTGGTGGGTGACGCCACACTCACTCACTCTTTGAAATCATTGGAACACCGTAGAAAGGTCGGCGACCTTTCACTTTTCTATCGATACTTCCACGGGAAATGTTCTTCGGAAATCTCTGCTATCATCCCTTCACTAGCAATACCAATCAGACGAACTAGACAAGCCCAGTCAGCACATCCTTTCGTTGTCAACCTCGAAAGATGTCGAACAGCACTTTATCAAGACTCCTTCATCCATAGAACGGCTAGGCTCTGGAATTCATTGCCTGTGGAAGTATTCCCAACAACATATAATCTCGAAAAGTTCAAAAAAATTCTAATACCTACCTCCTGTCCCTATCCTCCCTAGGAACGCACGATGTTCTTTGAACATTATAGGGATTCCCTTTCGTGCGCTCCAAGCGATAAAAAAAAAAAAAAAAAAAAAAAAAAGACAATTATCTTGTATAGTAAGCGTCTTTAGAAATTCTAGGACAGCTCAAGATAATTATTTAAACGGACGTTCTAGGTGGGTATATGTACACCCCATCGAGGCGAGCGTAGGAATGTTGGAAGAAACGCCACCTAGTGGCGAAAATATAAACTAGATATTTGTTTGATATAATGTATCTGTGGATTCTGTTCAACGAAATAATCTGATTGAAATTACAACATATTTCTTGATAGTGATGTGTTGAATCAACAAAATATATTGTTGTCATAATCAATTCAATTTGGTCGAATAGAGAAAAACCTTCGATTGGTTGCACAATGAAATGATTGTTGACTCAACAAAATATGATGTTGTATTTAGTTAAATCTTTGTCAAAATCAATTTAATCTTATGGAAAAGACAAGATGCATATAATTGATTGAACAATAAGTTAATAGTTGAATCAACCATGAATTTTGTTGAATGAATTGAAACTTTTGTTCAAGTAAGCAAATATTTCAATCAAATTATTTTGTTTCTTTGAATAGGTCGCTTATTAGTAATGAACAACCCATATATTTTGTTGATTTCGCAAAATTGTGTTTACTTCAACTCAAAAAAAATGACCCATGATTATTTTGTTAGTGCAACAACCTTTTTTTTTATGTATGAACATTTTCAAAGAACAAAATGGCTATGCGAGTTTGGTTCGGCCCGAAATGGTAATTATTCCTTTATTTTCCTAAGCGATTCATCTATGACCCCCTATCCATACCTACTAGACAGTAGCTGTGCTATCTTGCTAACAGTCTATCTGTTAAAGTTTAGGGTAAACTATCAATATGAAATCAAAGTAAAGTCTGAATAGTGTCTGTGGGTTAATCGAGGAGGTGGTACATTAGATTTTCCCCCCTCGTCTCTATAAAATGAAAAAGTTGCGTACCCTGAAGGGGTAATTCGATAGCTCAAGTGGTTAGATATTATGTTCTGTATACCGCAGGGCAGCAACTAACCAATTCACTAAAAGCAAAGATGGCTGCAATGAAAACCGTGCAGAGACAGAAACCATTTACTTGGTGTCCTCCTGAAGATATCTGGAAGAGCTAGCTCTTGTTCTGGAACTGGTGGTCTCTGGCTGAAGTTGTGGAAAATAGCGAAAAGCCGAAAGCGAAGCTGTTTAGCGAAGCGCACTAAACAGTCACGATGCGTGGGCGACGAAAAATACCCATTAAAAATCGACAACTTATCACTAGGATGGATAGTCTTAGAATGCTGATAAGGTCACGCATGTCCAATCGTGTCCCAAGGTGGACAGGTGCAAGAGCTTCTGTCTCTTGCAATTTCGCGATATTGCCAAATTTATTGAGAATAATTCTCAAAATATATATTTGGTATACCAAGACTGAACAAAAAATATAAATACTATTTCAATATATACGTGTAGTGAGGACAAATCAGATGATTTGCCACGAAATGTCACTGCGTTTGAAAAAATTCTCCTATCAGAGAGCCTATAAGAAAAAAATCACTAGCTTGTCAGTGACAATTCGTATTGAAAAAGGTTTGTAGAAGAGAAATGAAGGTATATAGAAAAAATATCAAATTTTCACTTATCTTTGGACGTTTTGAGAACGAATCTGCTTCCGTTTTCAACATAAAAAATGGATTTTTTCTAAGGCAAAATTCGTGTTTGTCTTGAAACTCCTCAGTTCTCAGTAAAAATTTGATATTTTTCCTATATATCTTCATTTCTCTTCCTCAAACCTTTTTCAATACAAATTGTCACTGACAAGCTAGTGCATCTTTCTTTTAGGCTCTCTGATAGAAAAATTCTTTAATCGCAGTGACATCCTGGGGCGAATCATCTCATTTGTCCTCACTACACGTATATTGAAATTGTAATCATATTTTTATTTTATAGACAAGGAGAGAAAATCCCAAAAAAATTTGGAATAATGAAAGTAAAGTCTCTTCGAGAATTATGTCAATATGATTTGCATTCGTTCAAAATATTTATTTCAGTTATTAACAGCCAAATAACAAAATTTTATATTTTTTTCTCAAAAAGTGCAACTTTGCGGAGTTGTAACTCCTTACTTATCTGCCCCAAACACATTTTTTACATGAATATAGGAAATTTTGTCCTCTATAACTTCGTTCTGAACCCTTTCCGTCGTGAAAGCCAAAGTTTTTGAGTTATTTTCAAAATAACAAATGCATGTACAGTCGTCTTCAGCGAACATGTTGCAGTTGGACGGTATGAGCGCTCTTATTGCAGCAGTGATCAAGGGAGCTGACACCGTCCATGTGCGACATGATCTCTGAAGATAACTGTACATAAAATCCAAGAAAGCGTTTCGGACGCATGCACCTCGAGGTCGAAAACTTAGATTTATCATTGAGACTCCCAAGCCTTGATGTGACGTCAAAATCCTATTACTGAAACAAGACTATTCCAGACAGAGATGAATGATACATGATTTCTGACAGAGTGAATTAGCGCGAGATCACAGTTGAAAGGATTAATATATCAGTTGCCTTAGTCTCCGTCGGGCGTTTGGTATTTTTTTCAACTATGGCGAGATGAGGTTTCTACGTCATAAGAGGGTCCGTTTTCAGAAGGTACTATTATTTATGTCTGAAAATGAAACATTCCAGTTAATTTTTTGATCGAATTATGTCGTCAATGATTATTCATGTTTGAAAGGATCATTATAAACATGGTTTGATCGAAAGTTCTACTAAGGTGAACACGCCCATTGCGGATTATTTCGATGGCACGTTTCACATTGAGACATTCACTGAACGATATCCATATCGAATCCTGTGATATATTCATCTCATGGATTTATCCATTTCAAATCCAGTAGGAGTACAAAGATTCAGATCTATTTCTAAAAAGCTTCAATCCATGTTCAGACACAGAAGGAACTCATGAATCAATACGATCTAAATCAATCTTGTAAATTGAACTCATTCATAATTCCTGTTGCTTTCGTATGGATATCCTCAAGATAACTACTGAAGGATATCCATGTTGACTCCTGCAATGGATATCTCATGGTTGTCCATCTCAAATCCAGTAGAAGATCAAAGAATAGGATCTATTGCCAAGAAGTGTCAATTTATTTTCCAACAAAACAGAAATACATGAATTTACACTATCGAAATCAATCTTGCAAATTTAGAACATTTATAATTGCTGTGGATATCTTATGGATATCCTTAGGATATCTACTGAAGGATATCCATTACAAATCCTGCACTGGATATCTCATGGATGTATATTTCAAATCCAGTAATATCCCGACCAGAATTGGATATGTAGAGTATATCCATAGAATATCCTGTGTTATCTGGGACGTTGAAAGAAAAATATCACCTTAATATGATGTTAAAATTGCGTATACGACGTTTGCCGTTCTTATTCTCACTCACCCTGTATAATTTTCCAGCTGAACTCCTCGAAAAGGAAGTGGAATCCGGCATATCGAATTTGGAATCAGAGAACATGAATATATCTTCATCTGTATGCGACTGTCTGCCAGCGTGTACGTCACTGACCTACAATGCCGAGTATTCTCAAGCGCAGTACGAATGGCCAAAGCTGTTCCAGGCTTTCAGGGTCAACTTCAGTGAATTTCCAGGGTAGGTAATGAATCTTTTGAGAAGAAATACTCAACATTGATATCACGATGTTCTGAATATTCGAGCAACGCCACCCCTATTGTTTTCAGGTTAGTATTATTGTGTTGACTCTTCTTTCATTACGAATTGTAGGAAGATTTTGAACTGTAAGGAGAGTCAATACAATAACTCTAACCTGGAAACCATTCATTTGAGTGTATTCAGGTTCTGATTACTTCGGAACTCCTGTGAGTTCAAAACAGCATTTTCCGGAAACTGCTCCTCAAGAAATGATGGACTGGGGTTCTGTTCGGAAAATAATTGAACGCTCCACGCATCCAAAGTTTCTTCCTTGGAAATAGAAATTGACCTGTCTTCTCGATTTTCTATAATATTTACTAGAAGGAAGCTATTGGGACTGGGTAGGGTTCTGAATGACACGGCATTTATCGGGAACTGCTCAACAGAAATTGGTGAACTTGGGTACCATTGGAAAGAGAATTGAACGTCCTTCGAAATGATCTGCCACTTGACCCCTCTTCCCATTTGAGGTTCTGAGGGCAACATCTACCACGCCTAGGGGGTTGGACCACGAGGGATGGAAATATCCAATTCAAGTTTCCTCCCTTAAAAATATAATCGGCTTGTCATCGCAATTTGTCATATTGTCACGAGTAGGACATACGGTATATTAGTTATTTCGAACCATGAGGGATTTATAAACATAAAGTTAATCAAATCATTATGAAAACTGACCAAGGAACTCTCATGAGAAACGTGCGAATCTAATGAATTGATGTATATAAATATTGGATAAGACGGTTCCGAAGTAAGCCTGGTCTGAGACTACTCTGCTTGACTTGACAAGAGCTCGTCGTGATGATCGTTATAATGTATCTTGTTATCAGGTATTTATATTTATTATTGGTTATTCATATTTGTCATTGCTACCCACAATGTTGAATGTTTTAATACAAATTGTGATGTTTGAATATAGTCTCGTACTTTCATATTTTTCGCTCACAAGGATGTCCCCCGTTGACAACACCAACGCTGATTAACCAATCAGAATTGAAAGATAACTTGTGTTTTTGCGACAATACAAGTTGGCTTGCGATTGGTCAGAGGTTATGTGAGAATTTTAAGATGAGTGAAATAGTCAAAACAGTAATATCAAGATGTTCTGAATATTCGAAATAATTCTGTCGCTGCATTGTTCACAGAATTGCATTACCCAAAGAAATTGTACCAGGGCGGTAGGAAAATACAATAATTATTAGTATATGAATACAAAGAGCTCGAGGTAATTTCCACACAATGTTCATGAAGGTATTGGTATATTTTTATGTAGCCTACTTGATATTTAATAATTCACACTTTTCGAGACGTCCAAATGAATCTTGACCTAACCTACAAATTCACGAATATTTTTGGCATATCTTTGTAGTGATTGGAATTACCAATAAGATATTCCTTTACATCCCAGTAGGTTATTGTTTTTGCCTTGCTGATTAAAACGAAATTATGAATCATAAAATGAATACCAAAATATTCCAAACGAAGGTTGTCGAGTGTCGAGCGTTAATATACCTCACGAATAATATTTCCGATAGCTCGAAGTCCCTTTTTAAAAACTTTATTTTTCGTATACACGTATGATTGACAAATTATGTACAAGAGATGTTTAACATACGGAGTTGAGTTAAGAACTGACTGCAGAACGGCTCTCGCTGGCTACAAGACGATCTTGCTGATTTCATGGAAACGGTGGATTCAGGGAATCCAAACTGTGGGATCAGCAATGTCAGCATCTTCTTGTGGGAACCTATGTTGAGTGGCGACATAATTCCTCCCTCCATAGTTTCGGCTTCCGAGGGTTAGAGAGGAAGACGAACATCGCGGTGGTCTAACTCTGGGGTTGTTGCAGCTCGAACCCTATTGGCTATCTTCTTGTATCCTAGGTAGCATGCGGCAGCAACTAGAAGTCCATATATGATGATTGTCCAGGCACTGGGGACATAGGGAGGAATCCCGTTGAAGTGAAAATCGGGTTGATTTTCTATCACTTGGGTCCGGATTTCTTGCAGTTCGTCTAATCGGAGGTCTTCTAACTCGATGTCGATATTGGTTTTTGGTGACATCGTGATGGCAGTGTCTAAATCGGGGAACAGGATTGGCTGATTTGGATTTGAATATTGTTGTTCGTTTGTTATGGTGAACTGGTCGGTGGTGAATTGGCAACCCATAGGAATTTCGATGAGGAACGTGCCAATCAGTTTCCGAATTTCTTCTTGTCTATGGCATCTGAGCTTCGTGGTTGATTCGGATGGGAATAATCCAATCCATTGATTGGATGCGTCGAGGTGGTTCAGCAGTGGTCTGCTCAAGTGGACCCGAGTCTGGTGGCATGTGGAGGTGTTTTTGATATTAAGCAGTTGGATTTCGCAGGGACCGTCTTCGACTTCTCGTAGTTCTTGTTTGTCGCAAATGTACCATCGAGGAAGGATTTCTTTGCAAGTATCACTCAGGAATGCAAAGTACATCTCGTTTTTTATCAAAAATTTATTCTTTGGAATGATTGCCTTAAACTGACCCTTTGAATATACTGGTGTTGAATAAAAGTGATATAATTCAAAATCAAAAGGAAACGTTATTGGAATATGAAGAATATATGTGATTTTATTATTGAGTGAATAGCTATCGATTTTGATCAGTCTCTCAAAATATTCTGTATTATTGAATGTTACTGCGAATGGTAATTGTTTAGATTCAGTTTGGTTATTCAATTTTTTCAATTCTGTAAACAGCTCATTTATTGAAATAATGCTCGGATGCATAACTTGTATTTTCGAAAATGTGATGGAATTTTCGATGTCCTGAAGGATGGAGTTAATTATTTCGTACATATTTATAATTTGATTGAGGATATCTTTTATTAGCATTGAATTCTCTCTATATGTATGACTTTCGACTATCAGTGCTATTTGGTTCAATTTTGAAGTAATCAATTGCTCATTATGATTGATCCTTTGGATTGTTTCATTAAATTTATCTATGACATTCAGAGATAGAGAATATTGTTTACCCATATTTGAAACAATTTGTTTTTGATTTGATTCTAGTTGAGAAATCAATTGTTCATACCGTTGACCATCATAGGCATCTAAATTGCCAGTAACGGACTTGAAGATTGAGCCCAGACCGTCAATTAAGCCTCTTTTGTGAATATTATGATGTGGAAGTATATTTTTCAATTTTGTCTCAACTTTTTCTTCAGTAAATTGTAGGATTTTTAGATAGTTTGATGTATCGAAAGAATAATCTTTATTGGTTAGTATAAGGCTAGTAAGATTTTGAGATTTTGATCTTAATTTACCGATTTCAGAGATTATGGGATTCATATCATAATAATGAATAAGTGTATGTGTATATTGTTCGACTTTGGCTGTTCCGAGTTTAACTGGAATGAGGCCTGGATTATTTTCTAGCTTTTGGAGTTGAATTTTTTCCTGGAGGCCGAGGATCCCCGGGATTCTGAAATAACAGAGACGAAACGTTTTTATTTTTTGAAAGTATATGTCTGTTTCAGTGGGCGTTTTAAATTGTCCATATGTATTTTTTCTTGTGTTGAAGTCGAAGCTGTTTTCGAGTCGTTATTGACCGTTTTCAATTGTGTAGATTTGTTGAATTTATTCGCTTGTTTTTGTCTGATATGTTTTTTCACGAAGGTTTTCTGTTCTGGTTGAAATATTTCGGGTTTGTCTCGGTTAACATTGAGTTTTTCTATAGTCTTGGTTTTGAGCGTGATGAGGTCTGAATTAATTTTGGAATACAGTAATTTCGATTTTTCTCTATGATCATTGATATAGTCATTCACCAATATCTGATCAATCTCCATATTTATTAAAAGGATTGTTATCTGTAATATGTCCATTAATTATATCAATTGGTTCGAATTTTGTTGCGGAGTGTACAGAATGATTATAGGCTAAAATTGCATAAGTTATTTTCTTTCTAATTGGAGTTTTCAAGAATCCTTTTGTATTTAATATCCGAATATGTTCAATCAACGTCGAGTGGAATCTTTCGACAATTCCATTGGATTGAGGGTGATTTGGACTACAAAAGTGAGTGTCAATTTTGTGTAATTTTAAGAGTTCTGTTACCACAGAGTTTTTGAACTCAGTGCCGTTGTCAACTACTATTTGTTTAGGGGTACCATGATGTGAAAAGAAATTAATCAGATTATCGACAATTTCAGTGCCACAGGACGAGTTCAAATAATATGCCTGAGCGTATTTTGAAAAGCTATCAACAATAGTTAAAAATTTTGACTGTTCGAGGGTTAATGTATCTAAATGAATTATTTCAAAAGGTTTTGACGCTGTTGGTGTAATGTTCATTGTCATTCGTACAGGGTGTCGTTCATATTTACTTTGCTGACAAATTTCACAGTTATTGATATATGTTTGTACTGATTCCTTGATATGGGGCCAATAATATTTGTCTTTGATTCTGTTGAAGGTTTCGTCGATTCCGCGGTGGTTTGATTTGCTTTCATGATAATTTTTGATCAATTCCTCTATGTCGTTTTTGTCTGTCACGTCAATTAATAATTTGTTGCATTTTTTGAATTTGATGGAAGGCCATTTGAAATTAGTTTGTAAAACTACAGAAAATCTCTCGTAAATATTTGGATTTTCGAAATAAATGTGATATTGGACATTTGGTGCAATATATTCTTTGATTAATCGAATAATATCATTTTCAAAGTTGTTTTCGGAAATTTGCATTTTAATGCGCTGTTTTCTTTCGAATAAAATGGTGATTTTTGGCTTGGCAGGAGAATGTAACACTGTTGATATAATGATTTGATTTTGACCGTAGTTTACTGGTGAGTCTGATGTTGGAATACCTACTACAGGGTGTTGTTCTGCATTAGAGTGTATCGTGTCATTTTCGTCGTCTTGTCCATTATTTCCTTGTTCTACGTCTCGAATGGATTCATCTACTTGTACTTG